TTTCCTGTAGGGGGAAAATGGCTATTACCACTAAGGATATCAGTTAACACTGTATCTTATGTATAATTTGCCAAATCAAACAGAAGGACCTTCACAAATTTCATTCATCTCAAACGCACCTCTTATAAGTTGTTTCCAAATTACTCATTTAAAAACTCATATAACTATATATCAAAGACCAAGTACAGGTCAAAAAGTTATTTCCATTTAACATATACTAAACAATATTTAAATATTATAAATATTACCAATTAGATTTAAAATCTGATTCTTGCATTTACTAAAAAATTTCAAAACCAATATAGTTAAGTCTCCATCAGAATACCTGAACCAAGCTGCCTCCTTTTCACTCACCAAAATGTTACTTAGTAGCAAATGTTCCAGGAAAATTCTCCCTTAAGCACCAACTGGTTAACTATGTATCAAAGAATACACCCATTCAATTCCCCATAAATTTACCTTGGTGTATCTATATAAAATAGTTGCAACAAAGTCTTACAAGTTCCCCAAGTATCAACAACCACTATCAATCATTGGTAGCAAGTACATGTTCATGGAAAGGCCTGTTCTGATCAGAGAATCAGTAAGATTTACAGAAGCTTAGCAACTCTTGAGATTGGGTCATCTAGATAACAATAATTGAGAACTTAACATACTTTATACACAAGAGTGCAGAATGTAAATGATTAAAACAGTATTAGCAACTTAAATTTTCTCTTAAGCCATAAGTCTTTTCTCTGTTCAGAACCCATGACTGCAACCAGCTCTAACCGGTTCCTTGAGGAATGTGGCTAGGCTGAAATTTTGGAAGTGTTGGCTTTGGTGGTGACCAAGGAGGAAGAAGTCTCTGGCTTCCCTGTTGCTGCAGTTCCCACCCTCCAAAATGAATATACCCACCGGTGTGAATTGACAATGTGGTCCAAAGAGCAAGGCAGGAACGGAGTCCAGATCCTCAAAATGGTAGTACAGGGCATAACCACTAGGCCACCTATCAGTTCAGTACAAAAAGTACAACCCTGTGCATCATGGTGCAAAAGCTGGGGCCTAGGTTTCGCATTGTGCATCTCACACCTATGGAAATAACAAGAGGAGTAAAATCTACAGAAATCAACACACCCTAAGAAGGTGGGTGCTCACAGAAGACCAGTGTCAATGCTTTTGCAAAGGTGGTTGGCTACTAAGAAAATGAATGGCAATTCCAAGTCCAAAGTTGGAAGACAACAAAACTTTGCAATCAACTCTGTTGAGTTTGACCATGAAGAACTCAACGTGGGTTTAATGTTTACCAACAAGGCTTTGCAAATCATGACACCCACCTACATGCTTATGAAAATTACTACCCCACTAAAATCTAGCATCTTTCAAGGATGGTTTTTAACTCGCAAAGAGTTGGAAAGATGTGGGCCATGAAGAAAGGAGGTAATCAGCAATACCCCCAAACCCGTAACTCTCAGGTTTTAAACTTTCCCCTTTACCATCTGACCTTGGAAAGACATGGTGACACATTCAAAGCTTAAGGTGGAAGAATTCCAGAATTCCAAAGAATAGGAAATCTGTGTACCAATGATGTGCCAAGAACAAATGTGGATTGTCTGAGGGTCAACAGTTTTGAAAAAGTAAAAAGAGAACTTCTAAAACGCAGGGTGGATTCTTTAAAAGAAATAAAATCACCGCTCTTGACTCACTTAATCCTTCGCCATGTTGCTGTCAGCTCACCAACTAAGAGTGCGAGAGTGTGTGTCTTGCTGGGTCCATTTTCCCATGGTCTGTAGAAGGCGCTGTGAAGCACATCCTGTTCTAGCTCTGGGGCCCTTCCCCCCTCTGCAGCCTTACCCAGTGCAGGGAATGCGCCCCCTACTGACTCCAACACTCATCGCCTTTAGCCGACTTGGCTGCGGTGCATTTTGGGTGGGGGCTGGTATTTTCTTGATGGCCATAAACCAGAAGCAACAATGCAGATTTATAAAGAAACAGTATCAAGCTACCCAGGAGTTCCCCCCTCTCCCCTTTGAAGGTTCAAGACACTGGCACGAGAAGCATCAGGGATAGGAATTGGGTGTGTGGATGGACAGCATTAAAATGGCAAACACAGGAAACAGTTTGGTTCTTTTTCCCTCCTAAGCCTTTGTCTGAGAAATGGGGTTATGGCAAGAACTGCTCAGAGGAATTGGTGAACGCAAGAACATCAAGAAGACTCAGTGTGGGTACATGTGTGGCTAAAAAGGATATTAGACCTTAGCGCCTGATCTTGGGCAGAAGAGGAAGAGAAGCAATCGCGCCTTTTCCAGCAGACAGGCATCCAGGTTGGGGGGGGAGGGGAGGGGAGGGCAGGCAGGCAGCCCAGAGGAAAGAGAGGTGAATAAAAGGGTGCTCAAAGAACTCCTCCCCATTCATTGCATTAAAAAAGAAAATCTTTTCGCAGCTTTCTGGATTTCCATTTTTTACCATCTTACTGCAAAGTTGGGGCTCAGAATGTTCGTAAGAGGTCGTGCTGACCAGGCAGCTGCGACTGAGAAAAAGGGGTGATGGTGGACTCCGTGCTTAGGACAGGAGGGTAGCTGGCATGTTGGGGAGGAAGGGTTGCACGGCGGAGGCAAAGACTTTCCACTCCGTGCCATGCATGCTCCCCGCCCCCCAATCTGTCCCCCCCTCCCCCAGCTAAGGGTGGGTAGACCTGGCAGAAGGCTCTCGTCCCAGGCACTGGGGGTGTGCGTGGGGGGCTCGTTTGGCGGGGGGGGGGGGGGGGGGGGGGAGCGGGAGGAAGGGATTAGTTCCAGGGATGGGAGCAGCTCTGTTCTTGCTGGGGGCGGGGTGGAGGGAGATGCCATCAGCGGCACAGGCTCCGGGGGCCAGGCTGGCTGCTGGCCTCGGCGGGCTCACGGGGCGGGGAAGGGAGGTCGGGCTGCAGGAGGAGGCGCCTGGACCCCGGAGCAGAGCCCGGGTAGCGGTCCGCGCCGGGGCGGGCGTTCCGTCAGCACCAGAGTATGCAAAGGAGCGTGTGCGGCTGGAGGGCTGGCAGTGGGAACAACAATGCACCCGCGGGGCCGGTTCGGCGGGAGCGGGGCCGGGGCCGCGGGGTCGGCGCGCGGCGGCTGCCGGGGCTTACCTTGACTCGGCCTCGAGGCGCGCGCGGGGCCGGCGTGCTCGGGGGCCGGGCGGCGGCGGCGGCGGCGGCGGGCGGATGGCGGCGGCACGACGGTGGCGGTGGCGGGCGAGGGCGCGCCCGGGGCCTCGTCGCGCTCTGGCTCGGCGGGCTCCGGCTCGCGCCGCGGCCGCGGCTGCTGCCGGGGGGCGCGGCGGGCGCAGCAGAGCGGCGGGCGGCGGTGGCGGCGCGAGCGGCTCCCTCCAGTCCCCGCGCGGGCGGCGGCGGCAGCGTCGTCGAGCGGTGCAGACAAAGGAGGGGCGGAGGGAGGAGACGGAGGGTGTGGGAGAGGCGGCTTCACCGGTGCGGGCAGGCGGGCGGCGGCGGCGGCCGCGCTCCTTTCGCTCCTCAGCAGCGGGGACCGAGAGAGGGAGCTGTGTCTGAGGAGACGCCAAAATCCCCCTTAGCGCTGCCCGCGGGAGGGGGAGGGGGCACAAGATGGCGGCGGCCGGGGGGGCGGGAGTTCAGCTCATGGATCCCGGCGGGCGGCGGAGGGGAGACCGGGCCGGTGGAGGCGGCAGCGGCAACGGGCGGGGGAGGGGGCTGATCCCGCGTCTCCCCTCAGCAGACAATACAAGCGCCTCGGAGCGAGTCCCCGAACCTGCCCTAGCCAAAATGGCGGCCGAGAAAGAGCGGAAGTGACGTAAATACCTCATTAGCATAAGAGGACTCATTGTCCAGCTAAGTAGGGGGGGTAGTGGGGGACAGTACCCCTTCCCCCCATGTCCCCCAGGGACAACTCTCTCACTGCCACCTGTGCTCGCACCTAACTTTTTTGGGGGGAGGGTGGTCCCAGCACCCCCACCTAAGGGAAATTATATAATCCCCACAGAGGGGGGAGCTCTCGCGAGAACCAAGAGGATTTTTGCCATTGACCCACTAGGAGGCGCCGCGGATAATGGCCGCAGTGCGCTTCCAGGGCCCGTGTGCACGGCGGGCGCCTTCCTCTGGCCGCAGCGCCGGCGGCGGAGGCACCAGCAGCGGGCCGCAGCACGCCCTGCACTCAGTCAGGTGGCCGTGCTGGGGATCCCTGCGCGGGCCCAGCTGGGCCTGGACTACATCTGGCGGGAGGGGGCGTGCGGGCAGCCCAGCGGCTCCACGTGCTGGGAGGCCTGCGCGCTCACCCGCCGGGCAGCAGCGGGAAGGACAGGGACACCTGGCCGGTTGTGCGCGATGCCTCCTGCCTTATATGAGGTGTGAGGGCCTCGTGCTTCACACACCGACTGGAGATAAGCCACGAGCTCATGGAGCCCTGGTTCCTTCCCGGTGGGGCAGGTTACTTAGTGCACAGGGGCTGACAGTCTTCCAGGTTGGTGATGGGCTCTTCTCTTTGGCCTGAAGAAAACAAATGGGAACCCTAGCGTGTGGGGCCACCGGACTCGTGAAGCCGAAAGATGAGAAATGATGTTGCTGATGGGCCTCCACAAGATGCTCAAAAACTACACTTCAACTGTGGTCCCAGGGGCACTTCTAGTGGTACCACAATCTGGACAGCACAAGCTAGCACATGGACAGTCTGTGCAAACTTAGGTCAATCCCAACCAACACATTACCTCGTTTCTGAATCCACCTTTTGGAGTAGAGTGCATCTGAGAGTATGTCATTAGCTAAACATACTGAAGAGTCATGAACACCATCAGGAAGGATTAACCAAGCCTGTTTTCCTAAAGTGTGTGCTCTGTGAATAACTGATCTTTGGCTGTTTCTCTAAATTTCAAGTTAAAATAGTTTCAAATCATACTTAACATCCCCAAAGATTCGGATGTAATTGAAAGTAGTACTAGTTGTGGTTACACATAGCTCAGTGAAGACTTCAGTTAGCAGGTTAAACAAGCCATTTCATCCAACACAGAATTTCATTAATTTCTGAAAGCCAAATCAGTATTTCAAGGGGAAACAAGAACTGGAGAAGTTAAAAAAAAGGGGGGGGGGTGGTGGTGGCACCAAAGCATTTGATTTAGAGAAACAAAGATGAAGAATCTAATTACATGTTACAGAAGACAGGCAAAAGCAACTATGAAATAAGCAAAATTTATCACAAGTTCAGTTGTCCTTAGATATACTTAGATTTCATAGAGTGGTAATACAAATAAATACAAAGGGAAAACATCTGGATTTCATCCTTGACCTAATTTAAAAATTAAAGAGAGATGCTAGGTTCACATATAAATGTTTTAAGATTTTTAGTGCTTAAATTATTAGATTTACTAAAAAAATACCATCTAAATAGTTCAGATTCTTTTCTAAATAACTGCTACATGATGAATGTCTTGCTGTTCAAATGTTTTCTCTACTATAAATTCCAGTAGTGACAGTGTTGTGACTGGAATTAAGAATCAAAAAGATTAAAAAGGCAAAAGATAGCTATCTACTCTCCTGGGGTTTGAGAAGGCAATACTTATAGTGAGTTCTCTGAGGTACTTACTTAATCTCTGCTCCACATACTCCACAATAAAAACTTTGGGTTTAGATGAAGTAGAAGAGAATCTAAACACTCAACAACAAAAAAAGGGTATTATATTTCTATTACGTTAGGTAATTCTACATCAAACAGTGATGAATTTTTCTAGTTACTATTAATGATGAAAGAAGTCATTTCCCCCAGGAAGGTGGGTCCCTGGTGTGCTGGCTGGCTACACAGCTCTGTAAAAGGGAAACAGAATAGTAGAGGTCCTTATTGGAATGTGTCCTATGGATTCAACTATGGGAGCAGGTAATGTTCAAAATGACACCAAAGGTTTTATAGTCTGGTATTAATTTCTGGTAGGATCTGTTAGAAATGCAAGGGAAAAAGCAGATTTTAAATTTCTTTAGCATCCAAATTAAGCCAGGAAAATTTAATTAAGAATACTGTTCAATAAATATGCTTATTAAATAACTTAGAGGGGTCTCTTCCTTTTACTTGCAAAGGACAATCAACTTAAACTTAAGCTTATTTGCTCAAAATATGCCTTCCCCCAAATTTAAAAGGTACTACCAGCTCCATAAGCTATGCTACAGTCAGAAATTTATTTTATTTATTTATTTTTTTGAAACACTTAGGTTAGAGAAGGTAGGTAAACAGAACATTTGTGCTGGCTTTCATGAACAGCTTAAACTTAAGGAGCATTTTAACCAGCGGAACACTTACAGCTTAGCAAGAGGTTTAAAAATTACTATAGCAACTAAGTCTCGAAGTCATCAAAATACTGATGCCTTAATGTCATCAGTATTTTTTTCTTACTGATAGAAGTTATTGCTCAGGATAGAAAAAATAGTAGCTATGCAATCAAGAGATGTCAAGTTTCTAATTCACAGTATGTGAAACAGACTTGCTGTGACAGATGAAATGCTTCATCAATTCAAGAGCTACAAACAGCCCAACTCTAAATTCATGACCTAAACATATTTTATCTAGTTTAAGAAATCTGAGATACATTTTTGAAGAAGGGGCAGAGGTGTCTACTTATTCATTAATACAGAAATAGCCATATATATTTCATGAATAAATTAACATTCTTCTTGCTTCTGACATCTATTACAAAGAGCTATGAGTCCAGTTCTTTATATACTTCAAAATCTTCCCCTATGTACAAAATTCTGCACATACTCTAATGAAAGCAGCAATATTTTCTGAAAAACAAAAAACAAAAAAAACCCCATGTACATTTATTTACAAGTCTTAATATAGCAAAATCAAAATGAAAATTGAGAACACTGCTCATTTTCTAATTTCATTTGACATACAAAATGGAGTTTCCTCAGAAAAAAGATTTGTATGAAATTTACCTTACCTTATGATTTATGCTCTAAGAGTACATTTTATAAAAATCAGCAACCAGGCTTCTTTTATGTTTAAATGAAATCAACATGATAAGTATAGTGAGTAACTTTCTTTTATGTAGTAGCAAAGAGGGTCAATAATCCTTTCAAGAAAGAGACTATTTCATTTCCTCCCAACTTGGATTCACCATAAACACGATCCACAAATGATATTGGAACCTGGTTAAAAAAACACAAGTTAAGTCAGTCTTCAAAAATATTAAAAAGGAAGTTAGCAAGCATACACCAATACAGTACAAACAAGCTCTGTCTTATGATAGCCCTTCAAGTAAGTTCAGAAGTTATGCGTTATATATAGTTGTTGTTATAGCAACTGTACGTCCAAATCTTTGAACATTTCGTTACCTATAAAAAGGTCAAATGAACCAAATCTAAAACCATTTGAAAAGTAATGGTCCTGAATATTAAGCTGCTGACCTGTTTCAACCAGAATTTCAAGAAAAAAATTTATACTCCAAAGTAAAAGCCTTTCACTCAATTTTTTCAGTAGTCCATTCAATTTATCTGTTACTATGTTTTAGTGTTAAATTAAAAATCTTGACACTTCCATGGAGACATGGCATTCTAATTATTTTCTTGCTATGAGGAGGAACACCAGTGTTAAAGGAGGAGAGCCTTTCCTAAGAGCTCAACAGCCTGCTGTATGTATTACTGACCGCCTTCCACCCCATTAACTCCTGTCCTCTTCATGGAAAATGGCAAACAGATTCATCATTAGAGTGGTTCTTGGCTATGGAAAGAGGAAAAGGAGCAAACACACTCATCCCACAGTGCTGAGTGGTCAGAAGAAAGGGCAAGATGCAGAACCTACCAGTAACTTTTAATTCTTTAAAAGGGAATGATGCCTTCTATTAATGTTTTAAATCCTGGTAGGGTCAACGTAGTTAATTCGAAAGTGAATTTTTACCCTTTAGTGCATGGACATTCCAAACAACTAGAAGCCTCCCACATTTATTTAGTAGTTGTGCAAGTTAAACTTTTTATTATAGTCTAAACCTATTGTTTCCTTACAAGGGATACGGCATTCTATTTACCAGCAGTTTGCCTACCTCGCCAATAGTATAATTCAACTGTCTTGCCCGAACAATCATCTCCATCTGGAACACATAGCCTTTAGAAACACATTTTTCTATTAATTTCTGTAGAACTTCTTTTCGGTATAACCTGTGAGAAAGTAAAATACATATGAACACCTAGATAAATACACTTGCTACATGTACCCTTTATGAAAGTCCACTGGTATTTATAAAACCTACAACTTTTCACTAGCTGTTTGTATGCAGAAAAACTGTCACAGCTTACGATTAGGATACACTTGTCCTGAACCGGAATGGTCATGCAATCTTTGGTAAATAATTTAGAATAATTTTGAAAATGAATTCTTAGTATCTTTTAGGGAATTATTTCCTTACCATACTACCACAAATTATAAAAATAGGATAAAGCGAGTCATCTGAAGTAGAACCACCATTTTAAGCTTTTAAATTTTCTTAAAATTAAAGTTGAATGAAGAGAAACCATTCCAAATATTCCAACAATAGAGTTGACAGACGATGATTAATCAATATAAAGTAGATGACAAGAGCAAACCCAGTAATTAACAAGTGTTTCCTCATAAATGTCTGAGCAGCTTCTATTTCCCAAGATGTACTAAATAAATTCCCTGAGATAAACACAGTCCCTTTAGGGGACTTAACGGGGAGCTCCTGAAGAAAGTGACTGGGTTCATCCACAGGACTTCCCAGCTCCTGTCTCTTACTTTGGGAATCCGATGTGCTCCATGTTTGGCCTGTGCATCTGCCCACTGCAGGTCTCTAACTGTGACCTCAATTGGTGGTAGCTGTATCCTACCACGATGGCCTCAATCCTGCAATGCCTAGATTCCTGTCTTAACTTTGTGTGTCAATTCTGACAAAGGACCAAAGAATTAACATTATTTAATGGAAAAAAGCAAATGCCAAGTAATACATGGTCATACAAAACAGTTCATCTTCTATAGCAAGACTAAAATTAAAAATATCACCCGCCAAAACCAACAAAAATTACCCTTCCCCCAACCTGGAAGAAGGCTTTGTTCTAATTAAATAATATTTTTTTTAATTAAAAATACAGAGAGCAAGGTAACTGCAAACACCCTAACCATTAATTATTTTAAGTTTTTCTGTGGACAGAGCAACAATATTCATATGAATTGCAGAAAGTTGCTGGAAGAAGTTCTGTTCTTTGGAGCCTGTGATCACCAATGATAGATAGCAATGTTCTGAATAAGAAGTGGATTAAGCAGCCACCTTGGCTCCCTAAAGCCCCCACTAGGGGCTGAGCACCAATGTGAATATTAACAAGCACACTAACCTAAGCCCTACCTTTGATGCCCCTTAGAAAGTACATTTCCCTTAAGAAGATGCTCAGGACTTGGGGCGCCTGGGTGGCTCAGTGGGTTAAGCCTCTGCCTTCCCGGCTCAGGTCATGATCCCAGGGTCCTGGGATCAAGCCCCGCATTGGGCTCTCTTATCAGTGGGGAGCCTGCTTCCCCCCCACCACTCTGCCTGCCTCTCCGCATACTTGTGAGCTCTGTCAAATAAATAAATAAAATCTTAAAAAAAAAAAAAAAATGCTCAGGCCTCATTAGCAATTTCTTAAAGATTTTACTTATTTATCAGAGAGAGAGCACAAGCAGGCAGAGTGGCAGCCAGAAGCAGAGGGAAAAGCAGGTTCCCCACTGAGCAAGGAGCCTGAGGTAGACTCAATCCCAGGACCCCAGGATCATGACCTGAGCCTAAGGTAGTGGCTTAATCGACTGAACCACACAGGCGTTCCTCATTAGCAACTTTTAAGGAATTTAAGTCTATCTTTGTATGTTCTGGAACAAAAATGTAGTAGAAATTAAAAGCATTTCTTAAAAATAAGTCATTGTATACTAAAAAATTCAGATAAGAAGTTAATAACAGAAAATATAAAATTACAGTTTTTACTGTACCTGAAACTTCCTGTTAAATCCGATGCTCCTGGTCTGAGCAAAATCTGAGTTATAAAATTGGCCCCGCGGCTGTTTAAATAAAACAATTAGATTTTCTTTATATATTTTCTAAACAACAGAAACACAACCAGGGTCAGAGTGCTAAAACCGTTACACTAATTCCATAAATGCAACACTGTTTTACAAACACGTCAATTTTATAGAAATTTTAGTTAGTAAAGGATCTGATATTCTCATTTTTGAGGAAATGGGGACTTTTATTCTCTGAATGTGACAGTTAGCGAGGACCTATAAAACAATCATTCTTCTAAACTTTAGGTAAGAAAGATAATGGATTTTTCATTCAATTTGCATATTTGCTACCAGTCCTCATTTAGAATTATGACCATCTCTCAGAAAGCAAAAGGAATCAGGGATTTGGAGTTTCCTTTTCAGATCCTAATAAGCACAAGGGATCATGGGTTTCAATCAGGCAACAGGTCAGTCTGCATAATAATGGCACTTTTTTTTAAAAGAAGGTATGCAAGTAGGCAAGAGTTTTGGTTTTTGGCAATCTCTGGAAATTGAACAAAATGTTCATTTTGAAACTGTTTCTTTCTACTTGGGCCGCTGTAACTAAATACCACAGACTGCGTGGCTTAAATGATTTATTTCTCCCAGTTCTGAAGGCTGAGAAGTCCAAGATCAAGGTGCAGCAGACGTGGTTCCTGGTGAGAACCCCCTTCTTGGTGTAGAGGGCTGCCTTCCTGCTGTGTGCTCTCACAGAACAGGGCAACGAAAGCCAAGCCCTCCGGTCTCTTCTGGAAAGGGCACTAATTCCACCATGAGTGCCCCATGGTCACTAAATTTAATTACCTCCCAAAGGCCCCACCTCCAAATACCAACAATTTGAGGGTAAAGTATTTTAACAAATAAATTTTAGCAGAGACATCCTGGCCCTAACAATGATAAGGTATGTGCTTCAAACAAAACTAAGTATCAGTTTCAAGCTATTACTAATACCAATGATTAACATTTCAAAAAGATCTGAAGTGCCCTTGGAAAAAAGTGACTTTTGTATTACAGCTATTTTAGTGAGCTCCGATTGAGGAAAAAAAAAGTTTTCTGAGGCAGTCTGGAAAGAACAGTTTTTCTCCGAAGCCAAGGTAACTACCAAGGCCCTCCCTAGGAAAGATTATTTTTACACAGATAACATGGTTAGGGCTATAGCTGGGATAATAGCTTACAAAAACATTTTCCCTTTCAAATTGCTTCCAATAACAAAATTCTAGGACATAGTTTACCTCTCAAAATGGGTTTAATCAAAGGAAAGTGAGCGTATATGTATGTATATATGTGTATGTATACATACACATTTGTACCTCAAATCAGTGAATGTATCTCTAAATTGGGGTTTTTAAACTAAAATGCAGTAAGAGTCAGATGGGCTTGGATTAAAATTCGAGTTCATACAAATGAGTCCATGGGCGAGTGATTATCTTTCTCAGGAGTATATATTTCAGTCAATGCAGACATTAACAACTAATGACAAACACACCTCAATACAACTTGGGACTCCTTAATTTTAAAGTGGGTGCTGTGATGACCAAATTCAGAGGCCCTGAGAGATTACTCAGTCGTTGTTCTCAACACTGGCTGCACAACAGAATTCTCTGGAGAGCCTGTGAAAAATACCGATGGTTCTGCACCACCCCTGGAGATCCATTTGCACGGTCTACAGTGTGTGTGCGCACACGAGAAAGGGAAAATGACAGGGAAGAGTAGTGTACGATTTTCTCTCTACGTGATTCCAATATTCGGCAGGATTAAAAACCACTGTTTATCCAACCCCTTTCATTTCACCGAACATTGAGGCTCTTACAGGTCTTAAATGACTTTCCCAAGGTTCCACAGTTAAGAGGCAGAACTGTGATTAACTTAACAAAATCTTCAATAGGAATGAAAAGGTTCATAAAAAACACTAATATCAGTAAATATTTAGTAAATATTAGTAAAGGCATACCTTTACATCTGTATGCTGACATATATTAAGCAGGAAGCTACATAGATCCCTTATAGATTTTATCTTCTCAACCACCACAAAAAGGTGATAGAGATTAAATAAGGTCAGAAATTCATTGTGAGTCTTCCAATCAAGAAGCGGATTCTCCCTCCCTATCCTTGATTATGGACCCTCTCTCTTTTGTGTGTGTGTGTGTGTGTGTGTGTGTGTACACAAGACTACTCAGTCCCCAAATACAGATGAATAGTTCACTTAAAGCTGAAGGTACAGAATCAATTTTGCTGAATTAGACCATTTCTAACAAAGGTTCAAAGGCCTATGCTGATTTTTCCTTAGTGACAAATATTCAAAATAAAATACTTTAATCATAGGAAAATTTGGACACAAGGAGCTATCTGGGAGTATATACTGGAAGTTAACAATCCGATCCCAGAAATGCCAAGGCAGCATGGTGAGTAATTCAAATACCTGTCATAACCACACTCCCAGTAGGTACAATAAAGACTAGAGAAACTGCAGCACATGTCTATACCTGATTATTTTTCTTTTCAAATCCCAGCCATATACACCTCCATTTCCTTTGTAGCGAGTTCCAGAGACAATGTCAAAATTACCCTCCTTCTGCTTCCTGAAGAAAAAAAAAAATTAGCTGTCAATTAGAAAAAGCTATTGAGCTTTCAATATTTATTTTCACGAGCTACACAAAATAAACTTTTAAGATTTGCATAGGAAAAACAATGCCAAGAAAACAGATGAACTATACCACCGAAAAATCTTTCAATGTAAGATTTTCAGACCTGGTATTTTTCCTTTATTAATTTCTAAAACTAAAAAATAGTAGTACTTGCTGATGGTACCATGTGAAACCATCCTAAAATGTAATCCCCCTCCATTCTGTTCTTGGCCCTATTAATAAGTAAACAGTGCTACAACAGCCTGGTAACCCTCCAGACCTTTCTCTTTGCAGAAAAATATAGACAAAGCCCCAGGGATTTCGGTTGCTTTAACAAAATTAGAAACCAAAAAAGTATACTCTGCAACTTGCCTTTTGTCAGTTAATGATATACATAATGGAATCATGGACATCCCTGGAGGTCAACAGAGAATTTCCCCATTTTTTTCTAATAGCTGCAAAAATTTCCCATGGAACACTGGACCCGTATACTTGTATGGTTGTTTTCATGGTGGGTCTCCCAACCCCCAACACCACAACCACAATGAACAGTATGACAACGTTCTTATAAACTTACATCCTGGTGCTTATACAACCCAAGTGGAACATAAGAGAATTGCTAAAACAAAGCTTACAAGTATTTTGAACAGGTATCACCAGAAATTACTTTCCAAGAAGGTTGTAGCAACTCACACTTCTCCAGCAATATTTGGGTGTGTCCACTTCCCGCCATCTTATCCACGCTAGATGTGTTGCTCTTTAAGTTTGTAATCATGACAAAATAATGAGTAATAAAATACTGCCACAATTATTTCACTTTGTGTTTCCCTGCCAACATCCCAGGGCGTCTTCCCTCGGGCTTCACAGCCATTGGTCTTTCTTCTACATAGGGCTTGTTTCTAGCTTTCGCCATTTTTTATTCCCCTGGTTCCATTTCCTTCTCAGGTCAAAGGGGCTCTTGGGAATTAGATATATAAGCAGAAAGATATCTCTGAGGCGATCTTACGCAGAGATCAAAGGATGAGAATAGCTAGCTATTAAGGAGCAGGGAAAGAGCATTTTAGGCAAAGAACACAGTGCTCCGTGTGACACAGAAATGGAAGGAGCATGCCTGCCGCAGAGGGGGTGGAGAGGAGGGGCACAAGACGAGCTCAGAAAGGGACGCAAGGGCCAGATCACGTAGCTGTTTGAGGGGCAAGGAAAAGTTTCTTTTTAAAGTTTCTCTTTAATGACAACTCACTGAAGTAATCAAAAGAGGAGAGTAACATTATCTAATTCTGTTTTAGTATATTTAGCTTACACTGAAAATAGTTTCCAAATTCTTATTCTGAGAGGTTTCATGTTGTCTTGGATTCCTTTTTTTTTTTTTTTAAGGTTTTATTTATTTGAGAGAGAGAGAGCAAGAAAGAGTAAGCATCAGCAAGGGGAGGGGCAGAGGGAGAGGGAGAAGCAGACTCCATGCTGAGCAAGGAGCCCGATGTGGGACTCGATCCCAGGACACTGGGATTATGACCTGAGCCGAAGGCACACACTTAACAACTGAGCCATCAGGTGCCCTTAGATTTTCTAAGAATACAACCATATTGCCTGCAAATAAATACCACTTTGTATCCTTAATATTCATACTAAATTCTTGTTCTTACATCACTTAAAATATCCACATATAATGACAGCTGGCATGCCTGCCTCAATGCGTTTATTAATGATTCAACATTTCACCATTTAGTAAGATGTCTGTCTTAGGACTGGATTGTCTTTATCAAATTTAAATGGTTTCTTTTTATTTCTGTTTTCAAGTTTTATTAGAAGTGGCTAGTACAGTTTATCAAATACCTTTAAGCACCTACAGACTTAATCATGCTGCTTTCTTTGCTAACATAATAAATTATGTGGATGATTTCCTGAGGATGAACCATTCTGGCATTCTTGGAATAAACCCTACTTGTTCATGGTGTTTTACCCTTATGATGTAGGGCTTAATTCCATTAACATGGAAGTCACCTTCCATCTTTTCCTGTGGTCTGGGAGAATTTAGAGTCCCTAAAATACATAATTTAGCCATGAATCTATAGCCATGAGGCTCAGATTTGTATGTTGGTTTCATTTCTGGCAGCAAACTTAACATAGCGTGTGCATTTTTAATTAGTAAAAAATGAAAATAAGTCAAATATTAAAGTAAGATAAATGATTTGAATCACAATTCTTTCAAATATTAAAAATACCTACCTAATGAATTCAGGAATAAATTTTGGCTGAAATTTAGAAAAAATAAACATTAAGTCAGTATAATAGGCTTAGACTACCACGAATAGCCAAAGAAAGAAAGATACCACTTACATGGTGTGAGAGATCAGCATCCATAATGATGATGTAGTTTCCTGTGGCATGTTTCATTCCATGAATATATGCAGTTCCTGAAAATGAAAATATATCCACTAAAGAAAACCATCAGAAATGCTTACATATACATGTGAAATTAAGCACCTGGAAAGCATACATCAGTTCCTTAAAGGTGATACTAACCTATAATTAAATCCTATTTATTCTCAGTCAAAAACATCTCTCCATTCCATTCTTTCATCTGCCACTTCACCTTAGTCCCAGGCACCACATTCTGAAGCTCAGCTCTCTACCTAAAAGTGTTTCCCTGCTTCTGCTCTTCCCATCACTCCTGGCCCATTTCCACAAAAGCTATCCTGAGTGTAGTCTCCACTGTAAGCTTAGTATACTAGAGGGATCTGGTATTTGGGGTCAAAGACACAGCCAGCAATTACTTAGCTCCCTTCATGCCTAAAAGTCCCCCAGGGACCTGACAGGTAAGGGTAAGTGGTGATTTGGGGAGTCCCACATTCCCTAGTTCCAAACCCCCACAGTATCTTATTAGCAATGGTGAACTCGTCTAACTTCTTTTGCTAAAGAGTGAGGATCACAGCTTTTTGGATTTCCACGGACTCGTCAGGAGTTCCTGATTGCTTTCATGGCAGTTTCCATGATTTCAATCTCAAAGAACCTCTGGGTTCAGATACTCAGAACACTAGATGATGCCAGAGAAATGGTCTTCAAGACAGCAGCAAATATTCAAATTTTTAAGAACTGTGCTTCCTCCATGCTCTCCCAATTTTTCAGTAAAATTATACTACTTCTTAATCTAAGCAACTGTAACCAGCCCAGAAATAAAGGTACTAAGATACTCATTTCAGAATGATTAAGTTCATCTAAGATTTTAAAAGCTAGAAAAGTTTTCTTTTTTAAAATTAAAGAGTAACTTTTTACTACTTATAAAGAAATGTTCAAAGATTTATAGCTAACACAGCATGCTGGTCCAAAACATTTGCCCTCAGATCCCTTCTCTGGCCCTGCTCTACCCTGTTCTACATTGCATGGAACTATAGTTCCCACGTACTCTCCTCAACTGGCGGTCAGATAGCTTCGGGAGGCAGGAGGGATAGTTTCCAGGAGAGAGAAAAGGAAAACTATGTGTCCCCCCTCCTACTCTGCCTCCCAGCACTGACTGGGTATCCTCCATGGCTCTAGCTCCTGCCACGTATCCCCTACTTCATCCTTCCAGCCCCTTCTAAATAGCCTGGGTTCCCGGGCTCCAAAACACAATCTCCTCCTACTGTTGCTCCATTCTAGGGGTGGTAGCAACCTCTGGCCATTACCAGTTTGAGTGGCCTCACTGTTGCATTCCATTTGGCCTCTTAGCATTCCTTCACCTGTGTAACCAGATTCTTAGTATTAAATTCCCTACACTGAAAGGCTGACAGTGGTTTCTGTTTTCCCAAGTGGACCCTGACTGATACGTGCAACTCAAGTTAAACCATATACACATCATTAAGATCATTAAAAACCATCAGAGGTCACTGTATTTCGGCCTTCGTCCAAATTCGGAAAATACACACTGGGTAAGCTTACCAAGGCGAGAAGCAAGTATGAGGGTCAAAAGGTTCTACTTACCCAGGCCCAACTTTTTCTCCCGTGGTCTTAGAAGCTGCAAGAATAAGAAACAGCATTTTAACACAAATACTAAAAATAATCTAATAAAAATTTTAATAAATGTCTACTTCTTTTAACAAAAATATAGCTGCATTTATTAGACCTTAAAGCAGAGTATGTTTAACATTTTTTGCCACGGTAAAAAAGTGTTTGCTAACAAATCAAATAGCTTAGTAAGTTGGAAAAACAATATTCTTTTAACCCAACTCTGCAGGTCAAATTTTAAGCATTTTTTTTTCCTGGTGCTATTCACCAGAAAACAGTAAGTAAACAATGTTATATCTATTACTTTATCATTTTGAACAATAGCTGTTGATTCCTTCTCCTAAGAAAACCGAGGATTTAACTCACTTATCCTATACCTTTGTGTATTTGATAGCCTTATCTGTTTTCTCAATCCCTTTTGTGATTTTATTATTTATTTACATTCTTGATCCACCCCCCCCACCCCCGGCTTTTTATTTTTTTCAGTCACAAAAATAATACAGGCTTACTGTTACAAGTCAGACAATATATGGTCATACATTAGTTAAGGGATTCAGGTTAGTTGCAGGTATGTGCCGTTACAAATATTGCTACAATAAAGATACTTGTACATATATCCTTTTGTATATATGGGCCTGTCATTTCTGTAATTAGCATCCCAAAAGTTGAATCGCAGTGGCTGAAAAGGTATGCATGCTTCTTTCTCTGGATTCCTTGTCTGATTTTAAATGCTGATATCACTCCGTGAACTTATCCTGACTTTATGCTTGGAAGACCTCATTACATTCTCTACTGGCCCAATGACATGATTTTAGGGTTACAAGCCTAACAATAAAATTTTTTTTTCTCTTCTTACTTTTAGTCGATCATTTAGCCTTTCTACCCTTTTTTTTCCTTCATATATAAAACTTGACTTCAGGTTTAGCTTTTTTTCTTTCGTATGGAGATTTTTGAAAAAAGTAGAATGCCAAGATTTTGACTCTAAGTTTCTGAGGTATGGGGCTCATATGGACTCGACTCACTACCAAGCCTATCTACACCCCTTCCACATTTTCCAGTGTAAATCTCTTGAAGTTTAATTTTCAGTTTAATTCAACCAGGATAGACTACCTCTTTTTTTTTTTTTTTTTTTAAACTTCATGTGAACTGCTGTAGGTCTTGGGGAGGAACAAAGATAAAATGCATTCCTGCTCAATGAACTTTTATATAGAAGAAAACTAGACATTTAATCAATCATGTATACTAATTATAATTCACTGGACAAAAACAAACAAGATATATCAGGTTTTATTTTTGTCACTAATGATTACTGACAAAATACTGACCTGGTATCTGCTCTAAAAAAACAAATCCTTTAAACTTCACCTTAGTTTTTCTATAATCCTATGTTTCAGTTGGAAAAATCTTCTTTTCTAAAGTTTTTATAAAATATAAACCATGCTGCATGATAGAGTACTATGGAACAGTTAAAAGAATGAGATAATTTAGCAATAAAAGATCTCTTGGCTACAATTAAACAGAATGATACACGGAGATTGCATTTATGATGAAAAACAAAGAATGCCACATTGCCTAGTTTGACACATAGACACATACACAGGCATGCACAAAGGTCTGAAGCAAGCCACACCAAGCTGCCAGACTGGGGTGTCCCCTGGAAAAGGAACTTGGAGGGGGACCACAAAGGCAACGTCAGTTTTATCAGCAACTTTTTCACTGAAATGCAAGGCTCATGTTTTTTTCCATTTTATTTTTTTAATTTTTGGCCATTTATAGTTGTGAATTATGTTTTTTTATAAGATTTTATTTATTTGAGAAAGAGCAAGAGAAAATACAAGTGGCGGGGGGGGGGGGGGGGAGAGAAGCAGATCCCCTCTGAGTGGAGAGCCCAATGTGAGATCTATCCCAGGACCCTGAGGCTATGACCCAAGCTGAAAGCAGATGCTTAACCAACTGAGCCACCCAGGAGTCCTGAGAATTATGTTTTCGTACATTTGATTAGGGTACTGATTTTTTTTTTTTTTTTAAGATTCTATTTATTAGAGAGAGAGAAAGAACGTACAAGCAGGGGGAGCAACAGAGGGAGAGGGAAAAGCAGGCTCCCTACTGAGCAGGGAGCGAGAGGCAGGGCTCAACCCCAGGTCCCCGGGGTCATAACTGAGCTGAAGGCAGACGCTTAAACAACTGAGCCACCCAGGTGCCCCAGGGTACTGATCTTTTTGTTAGATGTAATATTTTGGTACTTAGGGATAAACGATATTCTTAAAGTAGTCAAATCTTTCAATCCTACAGTTATATTAGATGTTTTTAAAGTAATGAACATGCATTACATTTTATTAAAAGAACAATCTGTAAAAAGACTAACCTATGAAATAACATAGGTGACTTAAACTAATCTCTAGTTGGGAGGCTGAAACAGACGGCATACATCAAACGTAACAGAAGCACTCAAAATGGAAAGGCTGAAGCCCCATCTCCCATCCCTCTACCCTATAAGCATGGTTAACAGCTCAGGATACGTGCCTCCAATTGTTCTTCAGCCCCACCTCCGCTGTTTGTTAGCTGTGTAACCTTGGAAAGTGCCTTAAACTCTCGTTTCCTCACAGTTTAAAGAAAAAAACTTCATTTTTTGAAACATTCATTTCAGCCACTTTGAAAGACTAGCAAACAAAGCATCTGTGAATATTTCCAGATATTGTAAAATAACTTCAGTAATAATTTGTCTCCATCTTCTATCCCAACAAACCACACACATCACTTCAAAGCAAGTAAGTGCTATCCAAGGCATGGCCTGATATTGTCAGGGTTGGGGAGATGGGTAATTTTCTATTTTAAATGATTTAAAGGTCATAAACTAATGAAGGAACAGGGAACTTCCCAGGTAATACAGGAAAATCATAACAGTGAATATAATTTTTTTCTCATTATTTTGAATTTTATTGGGTCACGTAGTTTTAGAATTTGAAAAGGTCAATTTAATAGACATATTCTAATATCAATCAATTATATCTCAAGGTTGAATCAAGTTCTATGACAAAGGTGTTCAAAATATTGTCAGGTTGATATTCCCAGATTCAATAACAACACATAACTCAGAGTAGTCTATACAGTAACAAATGGGATTCAGTGCCTTGGCTCACCTCTGTAAGAAAAACTGAGGAGCTGCTGGCCAAAAAAAATGAACCTGACATCATCAGAAGTCACTGCTAGAAGGTTGGAAATCTGTCAATTTTTAATCTCCTCCTGTGTATCACAAGATATTTAGAGAACTGGAGGTGTGACAGACATGTGAGTTGTCCATGTGTGATATGGAAAGAATTACTAGCACAGAAAAGATTCACCATGTGTGTAAGAATAACACATGTCCCTTAAACTCTTCTATTGACCACCATCTCCTCCAACTGAATAGAAATTATTTCATTATCAGGATTAATGAAGAATGTGTGTACCCGGTGACAGTTTTTTTTTTTTTTTCTTAATGCTTAATTACCTTTTCTTAAAATGCAAATATCAATAAAGGTTCTCCAAGAGACTTTTTTAATGTCTATATTGATAGTTCTCTTTGGGAGGAGAGGACAATTTTGCCCACAAGGGCTCATTTGATGATACCAAGAGACATTTTTGGTTGTCACTCTGGGGAGAAGGGCTGCAAATGGCATCTAGTGGGCAAGAGTCCAGGGATGATGCTAAATGTCCTCTAACATACAGGACACTGCCCCCGCCCCTGCACCAACCAACCCCATCCCCCCACCGTGAAGAATTACTAGGTCCCAAATGTTAATGGTGCCAAGACTGAGAAACTCTTGTCTATACATATTAAAAAATACCCTATGCCTAGAATGTGTTTTCTAATTAAATCTGGACTTAACTGCATGTTTTTGGCCCAAGATTTATCTAAGTTGAGCTCACAAGTATTTTCAAACATTTACAAAATAAACCATTATAAAAATAAACCAGTGATCAAAAATAAAAATTATAAAGCCATTATAAAATGAATTCTACATCTAAGTTACTCCAGTAGAAAAACAACACCCTTCAAAGTACAGTGGGAAAATCTAAAATGTAAGACTCCAAATGTCAATCTCCTCCCAGAAGACCGCTTTACAGGTTAAACAAAAGATGCTAAGTGCTCTGAAAAATAAAAAGATGCCAAAATTTCCATGAAAACAATCGCCCACCCAACTATAAGCTTTTATACTTGCAAAAAAGGAAGCCGAAAGATCAAAACATACATTACTAATTGCAATCTAGTTCCATAATATTCCTTGTCAATTCAGGAACATGCTTTAATTTTGCCCTTCAAGAGAACTTATCTGCAGGGTAAGTTGTAAAAACAGAGTTTATCCAAAGGCCAACTATTAACTTAACAATTACTTTTCTTTTTTTAAGATCTTATTTATTTGAGAGAGAGAGAGAGAGAGAGTGCAGAAGCAGGGGGAGCCGCAGGCAGAGGGAGAGGGAGAAGCAGGCTTCCCATTGAGCAAGGAGGCCGATGCAGGGCTCGATCCCAGGACCCTGGGATCATGACCTGAGCCAAAGGCTTAACCAACTGAACCCAGGAACCCCTTGCTGTATGTACAATTACTACTGATCCAACGTATCAAAGGCATGTATAACCTCAAGCACAGTGAAAATGCATCTGAATCTCAAGTGTGTAAGATGCTTTTTATCATTTCAGTTTCTAGAAAAATTGATTGAATTTAAGCACTGTCATTTCTCATTCTTTTCCCTAAACAAACACAAGTGATATGACAGAAAAATGTTCGCATGACTTACAATCTTGTCTGACCCATAGATCTTCTCCAACTGTTCGGCAATGTCCCTTGTTCCATCTGGGCTTCCATCATCTATGATTATAATTTCGTAATTGATTCCACTAAAATAAAAAACAAAATTAAAGTTTGTATTGTTTGGAGACAGTATTCTCAAAATAAAAAAAATTTTTTTAATTACTAATTTCTCACCAGTACAAGTGGAAATTTATTGTCACATTAATCACTAAAGGAAACTTCAATTACCAAATGAAATAAATGTCATTTAGTACTTCACCTCCAAACTCAGCATGTTGCCGAAAAATGCTGTAATAAAGTCCTGAGATGTTAAAATAAATTCTCATAGAGAAAACATACTCTTCAATTTATTTTATTTTATTTTTTTTTTAAAGATTTTATTTAGTTATTTGACAGACAGAGATCACAAGTAGGCAGAGAGGCAGGCAGAGAGAGAGAGGAAGGGAAGCAGGCTCTCCGCTGAGCAGAGAGCCCGATGCGGGGCTCGATCCCAGGACCCTGAGACCATGACCTGAGCCGAAGGCAGAGACTTAACCCACTGAGCCACCCAGGCGCCCCATACTCTTCAATTTAAAACAATCACAGCAATTCTATATTCTATATGATAGGATATTACGAAATTTTACTTACCAACTTTGGAAATGGAATTGTAGGACCTTAATATCAAACCTTGGTTACAAAAAATATTTCAAAAGTACATTTAAAAGATATCTCAGGTTGACTGAGTTGCTGAGTGAATATTCTTTTAAATTTAATTCCAATAGATATAAATGACATAAGAAACAAATATGAGTTCATTCCATCTCTCTTTAAAATTCCACTCTCTTTAAAATGGCAAAATAATCTCTTACACCACTATTTCAAACAGTTGTACCCATTTCTTCACACTATTAAATACATAAAGCACGGATAATTACATAAGATTTCAATGTGCTTCAAAGTGAACATCTTTCTATCGGCTCTCCATTAATTTCATGTTACTGCTCTAGTGTAAAAATAAGCCAACACAATACTTGGTTGTACATGTTATCACTATGTTTTCCCCCACCTCATTTTAGATTTTTTTTTTTTTTATAATTTTTTGGGGAAACTTAATTGGAAAGTAAAGGAAAGCACAGCAAAATTCCCCTACAACACTGTTTCCTCTTTGCCTAAACTAAACACATATAAGGAAAAAAACATTCCATTGTAAAAGGCTTAAAAGAGTCAGCCCCGGCATACTAGGAAGAAAGCTAAACTCAGCCTATCTATTAAGAGGAAACACTAGACTTCAGCTTCCCACAGTGCTTTAATTTTGGCAATTGCTTTACAAGCCAAAATATGTAAGATGTTGATTCTAGCTGATATGCTGAGAAAGATATACTTCAAAAACAAATGAAGTTACTCATTAGCAAATTATACTTTCTCTCACTTCAATGTGCCCAGAACACCTGAGGGTAAGGTAGTTTAAAGGAATCCAGCTAAGGTTCCTTTAATTCGACTATGCCTGAAAAGAAAATCGTTGTTCCCTTCTTGAAGCTTCCCTCGGATTAAAGCAAAAAAAATATCTAAGACTCAGAAGACAAACTAAACAAGATCGACCATATGACAATTTCTCTCATGTGGAAAGTGCTTACAGAAACCAAAATAAGATAACTAAACAAAAGAGGAAAAAGAAATTTTTTAAAAAATGTGAGGAGCCACACACATGATGATATTCAAAGAATTATAGTCAAAACAGCAATGTTTTTCACCAATTAGTATTTCCAAAAATGTAAGTTTAATAAAGCCCGGGTTGGCTTGTTGGTGGGGAAACAAGCACTCACGGGATAATCTCAGTCCTAAGGTGGTACCATATATATCTATATCTATATCTATATCTATATATAGATATAGATATAGATATATATATCCCGCCATCCCCTAGCATTTTGGTAATAACTGTCAATTTTAAGCACATCTGTTGACCCAGCAATTTCATCCTAAAGACTTTATCCCCAGTACACTAGTAAAAGTACGAGCGTGTCTGTTGCAACATTCTTCCAAAGGAGCATTCACTATGTGTCCAGCACTCTTCTAAATCGTGGAAAACATGGGGTGAACAGAGTCTCTGTTTTCATCTGTAAAGCAAAAGTCAAAAAAGAAAAACGAAAAAAGCTCCAGAAATAATCTGCGTTCACGGGGATGACACGGCTCGTTAAATTGTAAGAGTCATATGGAATATTATCGAATTAAAAAAGATAATTTTCCAAGTTGGTATATGTTGATCTGGAAAGATCTTCAGAGATCTATACATGATCCCATTGGTATAACCCTAAAACAAGTAACTTCGTACTGACACCAAGATATCCCGAAATCTTAAAAAAAAATATTGTGTAACACTTCCAAACGCAAACTCGAAAAGCCCTACTTTCTAACAATCACATCAAACATCCACTAGTGACCAACGAAGTTGCCCGGCCCAGCAGCAGCTCTCTAACCCACAGAGATCAAACCTCATGCTTACATAAGCACTCAGCACGGGGGCGGGAGTGAGCGTGCTCATTGAGACTCCCGGCTCCTGCCGCATCCTGACCATCTAGAAGTAGGAGTGAGGTCAAGCTTTCAACCTCGGTCCAAGTGAGAGAGGGACCAACCCTACTTAAAAAACAAAACAAAACAAAACAAAAAAACAGCCGGGGGCGGGGGGTAAGGGGGGGAAGAGGTGGTGGGGGTGTACAATTAAGAGAATGTCTCACAAAATCCAAGGGCAGGAATGAAAACACAAGACACCGAGAGAATCCCAGAAGTATCCGCTTCTGCTTTCTTCAAGGGTGGCCCTCTCCCCAAGTCTTCCCTCAAGAGCCCAAGAAAGGCGGCGCAGGGCCGCCTCGCGCAGCCAACTGCCGACACCCAGGCCGGCTAAGCCAGCTCATCTCATTCCTCAGTGAGGGCGGCCGGACACGTTACCTCTCGGAGAAGCTTTTCACCAGCAGCCATACGATGAGCGGTAGGTTCTCGCGCTCGTTGTAGGTGGGCAAAAGCACGGAATACTTGTCCTGTCCCCGGGCGCGCCCCTCCGACTCCCGCCGAGACCTACGAGGACTACCGCCCGCTTCCTCGGAGGCCATGGCGGAACTGCGCGAGACGCCGGAAACGGAATGACGTCAACGCGCCTCGAGAAGGGGACGGGTCGGACCGTACCAAATTCGGGAAGGGGGGGACAGGCCCTGTGGTTGGGTTCTGGTTCTCTTAAGGCTATCTTCGTGGTGCCTAGAAATATCCAGGAACTATGACTCCTTAAAGTTGAATATGAGGGTTTCTCCAGGAAGTACATGTCTACTTATCACTTTTACCCATGCTCCGTAAAAATTTTTTAGTTTCTTCCAGTCGCTAGGGGACGCTAAGCCGGAAAAGGAAACGCCTTTTAAGACAACTTCCGAGAGTGGCGCCATGGGTTCCAGGCAGGAGGTGCTCGCCTTGCGGGCTGAAGTTGCCCGGCGTGAGGAAGAGCTAAGTTCTCTGAAGCAGAGGCTGGCGGCGGCTCTTTTGGCGGAGCAGGAGCCAGAGCGGCTGGTTCCGGTGTCGCCCCTGCCGCCGAAGGCCGCCCTGTCTCGAGATGAGATTTTGCGTTATAGCCGGCAGCTAGTGCTGCCTGAGCTGGGCGTGCACGGACAGCTGCGCTTGGCCACCGCGTCCGTGCTAATCGTGGGCTGCGGTGGGCTCGGCTGCCCGCTGGCGCAGTACCTGGCGGCGGCCGGCGTGGGCCGCCTTGGCCTTGTGGACTACGACGTAGTGGAAGTGAGCAATTTGGCCCGCCAGGTGCTGCATGGCGAGGCGTTGGCCGGGCAAGCCAAGGTCTTCTCGGCCGCCGCCTCGCTGCGTCGCCTCAATTCTGCGGTGGAGTGCGTGCCCTACGCTCAGGCGCTTACGGCAGCCACCGCGCTGGACTTAATCCGCCGCTATGACGTGGTGGCCGACTGCTCTGACAACGTGCCCACTCGCTACCTGGTTAATGACGCGTGTGTGCTAGCCGGCCGACCTCTCGTGTCGGCCAGCGCCCTGCGCTTTGAGGGCCAAATCACAGTGTACCACTATGACGGCGGGCCTTGCTATCGCTGCATATTCCCCCAACCACCTCCAGCGGAGACGGTGACCAACTGCGCGGATGGCGGGGTGCTCGGTGTCGTAACCGGGGTCCTGGGCTGTTTGCAGGCGTTGGAAGTGTTGAAGATCGTAGCAGGTCTGGGTCCGTCTTACTGTCGCAGCTTGTTGATCTTTGATGCCCTCAGAGGACAGTTTCGTTGTATTCGGCTTCGGAGCCGCAGGCCTGATTGTGCAGCTTGCGGCGAGCGGCCGACTGTGACAGACCTGCAGGACTACGAAGCCTTCTGTGGCTCCTCAGCCACTGAGAAGTGCCGCGCTCTGCACTTGCTGAGCCCAGAGGAGCGAGTTTCGGTCACCGACTATAAGCGTCTTCTGGATTCAGGCTCCCCCCACCTGTTGCTGGACGTCAGGCCTCAAGTGGAGGTGGACATCTGTCGTTTGCCTCATGCCTTACACATCCCTTTGAAACATTTGGAACGGAGGAATGCAGAGAGCTTAGAACTCCTAGGAGAAGCAATCCGGGAAGGGAAGCAGGGCGCACAGGAAGGGGCGGCTTTCCCAGTTTATGTGATTTGCAAACTGGGCAATGACTCCCAGAAAGCCGTGAAGGTCCTGCAGTCCTTGACGGCGGTTCAGGAGTTAGAATCTTCAACCTTTCAGGATGTTGTGGGGGGCCTCATGGCCTGGGCTGCCAAAATCGATGGAACATTTCCGCAGTACTGAGGTGGATGGGAGATCCTGACCTGAGGCAGATGTGGACTGCCATGTTACCCAAAAGATACATTTATTTGCGGTTTTTCTAGGAATGTGTGGGAGAGACTGGGATTGTCCAAAAACTGACATTGGACCCCTTTTTGTAAGGGGCTTTTTTGTTATAATGCATTGGATGCTCTTCTTCTTAATGGGTTGTAATACTGTTTCTGAGAACTGTCTTGTGTTTCCAGCACTTGGAAGATGCCTTGAACATGTGAATTACAGTGTTACGTGACAGGATTCTGTGTTTTGACTGATCATTTCTCTGTTCTGCTTTTTTCCCACCTCCCCCAATCAAAAAATACTTTAAATTGTCTATTTTAATGCTTGGAAAGCTGTAGTAAACTTAGTCTCCCTGAATTGATCACAGATGATATACTTGAGGTCAGTATATTGTTTGCCAAGACATTGTTTGGGTCTTCAATTTCAAATGATAGAATATGTTCCACAGAAATGTTTAAAATGTAAATTATTTTAATTATCTGGGAAAGGGTCATTCTATTAAATATTTGAATTAATATCAAAGTGAGATATTTAGTAAGATAAAGGAAACCACCTTTGTAGTCTGTCAGTTTCTCTTATAAATTGCTGATTTAAAAAATTCTTAGTTTTGTACACACTGTGTACCGTGGTTTGGCTTGCTTTGGAATCTTCAAGCCCAGGTCCCAAACTTCTGCCCTCTCCTGCCCTTTATTCCTTACCCAATCTGTTACTTTTTTTTTCTTGCTTTACTGGCCAAGTACACCAAATATAGTACTGAATTAAAGTGGCATAGTGAGCATTGTTATTTCCTTCACAATCTCAGGTGAAAAACTGACTATTTGACCAATATGACTTGTTGTTGCTTTACTGTAGCTATTGCCTTTTATCAGATTAAAGAAAATTTCCTTCCTTTTATAGTTTGCTAAGTTTTCGTTGAATTCATCAAATGCTTTTTTTTTGCGTTATTATGTGCTGCTTTTTTCTCTTTGGTTAATGCAGTGGATTACATTGATTCTCTTCGGTGGCAACACACACACACGCACACACACACACACACACACACACACTATTTCCCCTCTCAGTAACTTCAAGTGTACAATATGGTATTGTCAACCACATGCACATGGTGTACAGCAGATTCCAGAATCCCTTGTCCTGCATGGCTGAAACTTGACACCCACCAAACCACTCCCCATTTCTCCCCTTCAGCTTGCCTCTTCTATTTTGATTTAATCTATTTTACTCCCATATTTTTTAATAGTACAAAATGTAGGTGTTTTTATGTTTATTGATTAGACAACGTTTTCATGAAATGGCAGGTTTGCATAACTTTTATACAAAATGAAAAGCAAAGATTTGGTCGATATCCGTGGCAAGTTGAAGAAGGCCTGCTGTGTCAAGAGGGCCTCTGCTCTCCAGCTGATTGTTGCGTCCAGGTCTATAATCCTCAGAAATCACAGATGTAAATGTGAAATCTTTGTATCTTTGGCTACAATTTTTTTTAAGTTCAGCAGCTTGTGGACTATACAAAACCCTTGCAGGTCAGATTTCCTCGGTTTGTAACCTCTGATAGAGACTCCTTTTTTTTTTTTTAATCATAAAATGGTGGTATTATTTAACAATCAAATTCAAAATTAGGATAGTCCTTAACCTTTTAACTGTGAAACACTGTAACCCATGTTTTGAATGGGCACGCTCAACCTTTGTTTTAAAGACGGAGCACGTTTGTGACTGTTTTTCCCAAGGAGTTGTGGAAATAAATGATCAAGACCAGTGAGTAAAGATGGCTGGCCTGTGTCTTACTGTCACTTCCAGGACAAAAACTGCGCTGGATTCATACCAAGAAATAAAGTGGACAGATAAGGGAACTATTTCCTATTCTAAGGACTGGTACCCTAAAGTTGAACAGTTTTGGTAGTTCCTGCAAACTTGGTTCTCAATAGGACAGGCAACAGAAGACAACTCTGGCTGCTTAAGTGGGAAAGGGGCTTGTTAAAGTGAGATGAGGTGCTTCCAAGAATTTTGGGGACAGCCTTAAAACTATAATTCCAGGAGTGATTCCCCAAACCACGCACAGAACTGACCTCACAATACTTTCTATGCTATGCTGCCCCACCTAGCCCTTGAGGAAACTGCTAGCATAGCCTCACTGTTCTCCCAGGAAGCCCAGCATGTCAGTCACGGCTCAGGGGACAGAAAACAATCGCTTTACATCGATTGCTCTTCTGGATCAGTCTTCTGAGGTGTGTCTGGTAGGGAGAGCCTAGTCTCAGTGCCTCCATCCTCACTACAAGAGCAGCTGTGAATTCGAGTCTTGCCGTCTACAGTCGGGAGACAGAACCCAATCTGGCTTTTTCTCAAACTCGTGAAAGATTTTTTTCAAAAGTTGGTCTGTTAATATGACTGGTATCTGTTATAGGATCCAGATTCTTTCATTCTTTGGAACTTTGTTTTCTCTGGGGATTGTGACCAGTTTTTCTACATTCAGATGGGATTTTTAACTCGATATTTTTTCCTTTTTATTTTGCAAACATCAAGTGTACCAGTTACTATTCTAAACTCGGATAAAGATGAAGAAGAGATTTTCTTTTTCAGACTTTACATGTAAATGAGAGGAGACAAATCAACAAATCAGTGTTAAGTGTCATAAAAAAAAAATGAAACCGATGTATTGGGGTGGAGATCTATTTTGGATAGATTCATTAGAGGAAAGCACCTTGCAGAGGGGTTGATGTGAAACCCAGACCCTAATAGGTGATAAGGAGCCAGCTCAATTTGGGAGAACCTCCCTGACTGGGAGGAAAACAAGTGGAAAGACCCTGAGGCAAATAAACTTACAAGTTTATAAGTTTGAGAAACTGAAGAGGCAAGTGGGTTGTGGACAGTTGAGGCAAGTGGAGCAAGGTGAGGTTTATGAAGATTGGGAACACATCAAGAATAGGTTGTAGACCAGAAGTTTGGTTTTTATTCCAAGTAAAATAATAGCTAACATTTACTGGGTACTTACTATGTGATTAGGAACTTGAACCCAGATGGTCTGGCTGGAGAGCCCGTGTTCTAAGCAATACGCTATACTGACTCCCAGCGGGAACTTTGTACTTGTTTTACACGGTTTCACTTTTTGAAAAACAATCCATGCCCTAAGCATCAGGTTGGAAAGAGCTCGGATTTCAGACGCAGAAGAAATGTACTCCGACTCACTTGGCTTGCAGGCTTCTCTCTAGGGAAGGAAACCCAGATTGAAATCCCTGGGAGCCCTCTGACACCTATGTGTTACCTAGGTAATGTC